GGTCGGGTCCGGGGTATGGAGTAGGGTAAGAAAAAATGCTGAAAGATCAAGTAGAGTTTTGAAAAATGTTTTCCTTCATTTTTGAAAGTAAGTCATTTTCCTTAAATTTGAAGAAAATGAGTTGATATAGAAAACATTTTCCAAAACATTTAAGTCAATCAAACAACATATTCAACTATAACATCGTCATAGATGCCCGTTGCAAAGATAGATACTTAGATACTGTTATAAACCTTAAATGAGATGAAGTTGAAAGGCATTCCTTCGGACATTTTAACTATATATAGTTCTTGATAATTTGTGTAAGCTTGGTCAATGAAAAATGGTAAAGACAATGCGATAATGGATGAGAGGTTATGAGTTCAAGCTTCAATAAAAATAGCGTTGATAGTCTATGATTGTGTACAATAAGAATTTACACCAAATTGCTTCTTCTTCTTTTTTAGGGGAAAAGCCTAAAATATGCCATGAAATTTTGAGAAAAGGTTCATTTATGCCATCTAATTAAAGTTTGGTTCATCTATGCTATTTTTGTTTGAGAAAGACTCAGTTCTGGTTTTGCAAAATCAAAATTGTGAACCTTTTCTCAAACGAAGATGGTATAAATTAGTCAAACTTTTATCGGATGACATAGATGAACCTTTTCTCAAAGTTTGATGACATATTTGTAGGGGTGTGCATTGGTCGGTTCAGATTGATTTTATGTATTGTCGGTTCAGTTTATCGATTTTCAGTTTTTAAATATGCTAAACCAATAAGATATTCTTTATTGGTTTTTTTTGTCATTAACGGTTTGATTTTCGATTTACCCAATAAGAAAATGCTCATAAATCAAATATATGATTTCTTACTTATCTAACAATTTGGCATGATACAGTGAGACAAGCAAATCAGTTGTAAATGTTTTGATATAGTGAAACAAGAAATATAATGAGAAATTACATCAATAAAAGTAGATGTAGTACGAAGGCTACAATAACACGTTACAACCAAAACATAATATGAAATTTTTGATGTGAAGTAGAAGTACTATGACATGTGAAGTGTGTAGACCGTAGTGTGGAGTACTAATATAGTGTCGTTAAATTATTAATATTTAATATTTATGAAGGGTATAGTAGTAACTTACTATCGTCTTAATGGGTTATCGGTTTATCCAATAACCCAATACTAAAAACTGATACCAAATCGATAACCCAATAAAACTTTTTATAAAATCATTAAAAAGTCATTAATTCAATAACCCAATAGCAATGACCTAATAACATTTTTTCGGTTCGCTTTTTGTACACCCCTACATATTTGAGTCTTTTCGCCCTTTTTAAATGTATGTGAGGGAGTATTTATTAGTAGTATTAGTCTCACTTTAACAAACAAAAATTGGAAAATGCAAGAAAAATGTCACATCCTTGGTTTTCTACTAAGCACCCAAGAAAGATTGTATTGTAGAGAACTTTGATTTTTGCTGAATGATTTTACAAATGAATACCCATCTATTTATACTAATTAATTAGGGGCTAATATGTAAGTAATAATTATTAAACAAGTCTCTACATATTAACAAAGAAGTCCCTTTTCTAAAATATTCTATCCAACTAGAATATTCCAAAGACCTATGAAAATTCATGAAGGGTCTGTTTGGAATGCCTCCAAGTAATTGGAATCGGTGGAATTACTAGGATAATAATTACCAGCCTGGTAATTACACAATTTAGTAATTACGATGACTTGTTTGTTTGCCACAGTGTAATTACAAGTGTATATTTTGGTTGCACAAGTGTAATCATAAGCTTATACTCAAAAAATTATATTAGACAAGTAAGAGTCTTTATAAATGATATTAAATCGAATATTTAAGATATATATTGTCTTTTGCAAATATATTAATTAATAAACATATGTTCTTAACTAATATTATAAAAAATAATTGATTTATATTTTTCAATGTAGCATATTTTGATTAAATTAATCATAAAAACTAAAAGTACAAAAATTCTATGAACATCATGAAATGCGTGTTTGACAAAAAAATTAATATTATAAATATAATGTCATAAAAATATAAAAATATTTGAAAAAAAGGTGATTTATCAAGTCTAACCAAAAAAAATAGATTGCAATATAAAATATTGAGTCAATATTCCTAAAACAAATTAAATTGAAAATTAACATAAGTTTTAAATTCAAAACAAAAAATTTAACATAATACCCTTATGTCAAATTTCAACATAACATACATAAATATAATTTAAAAGAAAAGGAAAACATAAGTCCATTACCCTATTCAACAATGAATTCTACTTTAATTTAAAAATTAGAATGCTAACAAAATTATATTAATGAAAACAATAGATAATACGAAAAACTGCATAGAATCACAAGAAGTAAAGGTTGAGTATGAGAAAGAAATGAAATATAATAATATAAATATATATTCAGAAAACATTAGAATAATAAAAATAAAAATAAAAAGAATTTAAAATAATAAAAATAAAAAATAAATAAAAATGAAATAAATAAAAATAAAAAAATGGAAGAAATTAAAAGTAATCAACTTGTAATCACACCATGTCAGTGGGAAAATCAGGAATTTTGTTAAGGGTGTTCAAACTTTAAAATGATGAATAAATTGTTTTCAACGAACTGGGTACATTTTTTTCCTGATGAGTGGAAGTCAACAAACACAATTTTAGCTACTAGTTGAATTTACTTATGTTTTTAATTACTAGTTAAATTATACTCCCTCTAGTTCATATTAAGTTAATTGTTGAGACTTTTCTTTTTTTTGTTTTATTGAGATTCTTCATTATTTTACATTTTCTAGAAGAATAGTTAAAATAATAATTGTAAAAAATAATATTTAATTTATGTTCTTAAATATAATGGGTTTAAATAAAATTGTGTCAGTTAAATGAGTTACCTGTTCATTACACCCAATTATCTGACCAAATAAGTATATAAGTTACACTCAATTACACCAAATCCAATTACATATCCAAAATTGGTCTTCAAAGGATGGAATTCTCCGTATATCTCTAGCACCTTTATATGAAAGCCCTCATATATGCTACTTTGTGTCGAAATTCAGTTCTTAGTAGTTGCACTTGATGGAATAGTCTTAAGGATGAGCTCACATGGAGAGATAAACATTGACTCTGAAAATTATACATCAAGCTTCTCGTAATGTCGGT